ATATTTCTTTATTTATAGACAGAGGGAAAGAAAGGGAGAGACACATTAATGTGCGATTGCCTCTCATGTGCCCCATGCTGGGGACCCAGCCCACAACCCAGGCATGTGTCCTGACTGGGAATTGAACCAGTGACCTTTTGGTTCATAGGCCAGTATTCAATCCACTGAGCCACACCAGCCAGGGTTATCTTTTTTTATTATATGCAAGAAAGTATTGTGAAGTTGAAATACCTCCTAATCCTCACCATAAGTTTTCATTCCCAGAAGCAGCCCCTAGTATGAATATGGCATGTTTCTTTCCAGTCTGTTTTGTTAATACTGTCCCATATATGTTTGTATCTGTGAACAGTGTAGAGTATTATTTCATATCAGTAGTCTTTGTAATTAATTTCTTTGCTTTAATCACTATGTATGCAAATAATGAAAGGTTTTCTTGGGCTCCACCGAGGAAGAAATGCTAATCAGCCACAAAGTTAGGCAGTATAGAGCTTTATTGGGGTTTGTGCACCCGGGCGAGGTTCTCCAGTCTGGAGAGTGGGGCTGGGGAAGTTGCACCCAAGCAGGGAATGTGGCGGGGTTTTATTTTGGTTGGCTCTCTTCGTGGGAGCTGGGGATTGGTCCCCTTTGAACAAAGCGGCAAAGTATCATTGGTGGTTCTCCTCGGGCTCAGGTTGCTATGTGGATAAAGCCCCCCCTTTCAGCTCTCTGGTTTGACTTCAGCCATCTTTTTTGGGTTGTAGTTCAGCTGCCATCTTGTTCTACCCCACCCATCCTAACAAATAATATTTTTCAAAATAGTAGTAAAGAAAAAAATCAGTGACAGAATAAACAGCAATCAGCCTTAACCTCAGTTCTACTCCCCTAGTCATCAATTTTCAACTCCTGTAGCTGTTTCATCTGGTATTTCTTTCATAAGTCTAAATAAAATACTTATATTAATTTTATAGTAAATAAGCATTTAACACTTATACCCTGTCTCCAGTTCCCTTTTGACTGCTTTTCCAATATATGTCACAATTTATTATAAAGTCAGTGTTTACATGATTATGACTGTGAATTTTTTTAATATATTTTATTGATTATGCCATTACAGTTCTATTCCCCCCCCTTCATTCCCCTCCACCCTGCACACCCCTCCCCCATCATTCCCCCCCCTTTAGTTTATGACCACCTGTCTCAAGTTCTTTAGATTCTATATTTCCCCTACTATTCTTGCCCTCTCCCCATCTATTTTCTACCTACCATCTATGCTACTTAGTCTCTGTACCTTCTCCCCCCTTCTCCTCCTCCCACTCCCCTGTTACTAACCCTCCATGTGATCTTCATTGCTATGGTTCTGCTCCTGATCTAGCTGTCCTCTTACTTTGCTTTTGTTTTAGGTGTGGTTGTTAATAACTGTGAGTTTGCTGTCCTTTCACTGTTCATCTTTTTTATCTTCTTTTTCTTAGATATAGCCCTTTAACATTTCATATAATAAGGGCTTGGTGATGATGGACTCCTTTAACTTGACCTTATATGAGAAGCACTTTATCTGCCCTTCCATTCTAAATGAAAGCTTTGCTGGCTAGAGCAATCTTGGATGTAGGTCCTTGCATTTCATGACTTGGAATACTTCTTTCCAGCCCCTTCTTGCCTGTAAGGTCTCTTTTGAGAAATCAGCTGACAGTCTGATGGGAACTCCTTTGTAGGTGACTGTCCCCTCATCTCTTGCTGCTTCTAGAATTCTCTCCTTCATTTGAATCTTGGCTAATGTAATTCTGATGTGCCTTGGTGTGTTCCTTCTTGGGTCCAACTTCTTTGGGACTCTCTGAGCTTCCTGGGCTTCCTGAAAGTTAATTTCCTTTCGCAGATTGGGGAAGTTTTTCTTTATTATTTGTTCAAATAAGTTTTCCACTTACTGCTCTTCCTCTTCCCCTTCTGGTACCCCTATAATTCGGATGTTGGAGCATTTAAAGATGTCCTGGAGGTTCCTAAGTCTCTCCTCATTTTTTTGAATTCTTGTTTCTTCATGTTTTTCTGTTTGGTCATTTTTTTCTTCCTTCTGGTCTGCTCCCTTGATTTGAATCCCAGTTTCCTTTCCAACACTATTGCTTTCCTGTGTATTTCCCTTCATTTCAGTTAGTTTAGCCTTCATATGTTCCTCTAATTTGTGGCTAAATTCAACCAATTCTGTGAGCATCCTGATCACCAGTGTTTTGAACTGTGCCTCTGATAGGTTGGCAATTTCTTACTCTCTTAGATTTATGGGCTCTGGGGCTCTGAATTCTTGAGCCATGTTTTGCTCTGTTCACGCCTGTTACGTATGAGGAGAGGAGCCTTAGTTGTTCACCAGGGTGGGGCCACCCAGGTCATTGATTTGTATGTGGAGGCGGGGTCAGAGAGGGAGCAATAGCAGTCCCCTCCGCTCCTTCCCGTGCTGGGGCCTGCCGGGTCTGTCTCACTGCTCGCTCCTTTGCTGGTTTATCTGTGCTCAATGTGTGACCATGGTCAGCCTGCCGCCTTGCGCCTTCACTGGGTCCACCCATGGCTACCCCACTCGTGGGATTTGCCCTTGGCTGCCTCAGCACCTAGGTCAGAGGATCTTTTTGACCCAACCCACTCCGCTGCTGGCTCCGCCCCTCTTACTAGTCTAGCTGAAGGGTTTGTTGTTATGACTCCCGTTTTGTTCAATTTACTGTGGTTTGGCTGCGTTTTTTGTTGCTAAAACTTTGTCATTTTTAGGCTTGGTTGTGCGAGAAGGCACAATGTTTCCACCTACACCTCCATCTTGGCGGAAGTCCTCCGAATTTTTTTAACCACAGAGCTAAATGGGTTTCTATGACATGACTGAACATACTAAATCTTATTAATTCATTTTTTTGTTCTGGAGTTAGTGGTCTTACATTGTTATTGGCTTTTAGTCTTTTATTTTTCTATTCTATTTTTCCTGTGCTTAATTGTTTAAAATATTACAGTGAGCCCTGGCTAGTGTGGCTCAGTGGATTGAGCAGTGGCCTGCAAGCCAAAGGGTTGCCAGTTCGATTCCCAGTCAGGACACATGCCTGGGTTGCAGGCCAGATCCCCTGTAGCGTAGCGGGTGCGTGAGAGGCAACCACACCCTGATGTTTCTCTCCCTCTGTTTCTCCCTCCCTTCCACTCTCTCTACAAATATATAAATATAATCTTTAAAAATGAAAAAAAATGTCACAATGCTGTGCCTTGTTGGCGTGGGGTCCTTTCTTTTTCATTCATTTTGTTAGGTACTTGAGAGGTCCTTTTACTCTGAAGGATTGTGTTCTTTAGTTCTAGGATTCTGTAACTTTTATTTTTCATTTCTTCTTTCCTTTTATTATGTCAATTCTTTCTGGGATGGTCCTATCAGTCTGGTTGAATTTCCTGGAGCAGGGATTGACAGACTTTTCCCCCTAAGGGCAAGATGGTAAATGCTTAGGCTTATGGGCTGTTACAGTCTTGGTTGGTAGCACCCAACTCTGCCATTATAACGTGAAAGCCGTCACACTAATAGTGCTCAGCTGGGGGGCTCGGCTGTGTTCCAATAAAACCTTTATTTGTAAAAGCAGGTAGCCAAGCCAAAGTTTGCCAAGTCCTATCTAGAATGATTTTCTTATTTTCCAGATTTTTTTCTTCACTTTGACTTTTTGTTCTATATTCTGGGAAATTTCCTCAACTTTCTCTTTAGTTTTTTTCTATTAAAATTCTTATTTTGGATATAATTTTTAATTTCTAGGAGCCTTTCTTCTCTGTTCTTTTTATAGCATTTCTAGTCTTATTTCATGTATGCAATATCTTTTTCTCTTCAAGGTTATTAATTAAAGTCTTTTAATCACAGCCTTGATTAACTCTTTTGTGCTTCCCCACCCCCACCCCCCAAGTATTTCAATTGGTCTCCTTTGTGTTATGTGCTTTCCTAAATTATCTGGAGATCCTTGGCTGTTCACACTTAGGAGTAGGGTCCTAAACACACTTGGAAGCACTATTAGCATGAGTGAGCTTCAAATCAAAATGACCAGCTAGCTTGCGTTGATGTAGTCCAAATGACAGGATTCTTTTATGTGGGGCTGTTCTCTTCCTCCACTCTTTTGCCTGGTAGGGTCCAAGCCTGGATAGGAATTTAAGACAGTGTAGGACAGGAAGAATGGGTATTCTCGCTGCCTGTCCTTCAGATTTGTATTTGTTCCTCTGTTTTAGCCCTCTGCCTCACCTTGCCTCCCAGGGTATGGGGTTTCTAGGGGTGAGTCATTTCGTCTCGCTGTAGATACTTCTGTGGATCCTAGCTTTCCGTAATTGGCCATGTCAGCCAGAATCCTTTTGATTTCTCTCTGCCCAAATGGGTTTAATTCTGTTGGTCTACTTTTGGGTTTGTACTGATTAGTGCTTTTTCTAAAATGTTAATGAGGCGGCTGGATGGAGTGGCATCAAACATGTGTTTTCACCTACTATGTTAAGCTGGAAATTAAGTGATTTATTTTGAAAACCTTTTGGGAAATGAGTAGTAGAAAATTTTATTTTACTTTTTAAAAATTGTATTTATTTTAGAGAGAGGGGAAAGGAGAGAGAGGGGGAGAGAAACATCAACGTGCCAGAGATACATCTGTCAGTTGCCTCTCGCACACCCCCTACTTAGCCTGCAACTCAGGCATGTGCCCCAACTGGGAACCAAACCAGCAACCCTTCAGTTCACAGGCTGGCACTAAGTAAAATGAGCTACACCAGCCAGGACAGTAGTAGAAAATGTTATTTGCAGCTAAATCTTGTTGGTGCTATACCTCTATTTCTCTCTTCCTTTTTTGAATGGAAATATTTCCACAGTAATACATGCTTATCATTAAAAATATTAAATGATATGGAATTACCTAGACTAGTTAATGAAGAGCTCTGTGTAACCACCCCTGACAGTAATTGACACCCACCTTGCACTACCAGTCTTTGTACATAACACATATACACTGCCCCCATTTTTTCTTTCTTTTTATTTGAATTGTTTGTTTCATTTTCTTCAGGTCTCCTGGAAACCTAGAGAAGAACCGCTATGGGGATGTACCCTGCCTGGACCAAACAAGAGTGAAGCTGATAAAACGAAGTGGCCACACTCAGGTAGACTGATAAATGCCATCTTCTCAGGACCACCGAGGGAAATTTAAGAAGCTTACAAAGTGTAGCTTACTAATGTTATAGTTGAAAGAACATGGATTCTAAACTAGAGAGACAATATTTGAGCTGTAGTGTTGCTACAAACCAGTCCATTATTACCATAGGCAAGTTCCTGTATGCCCATCTGGTAGTATTAAGTGGAAATTAAATGAAATGCTTTATGTAAATGCTGATAGCACAAGGTCTGGTATGTTGTAGGTGCCCGATTATGCTCGATTATTTCTCCTTTTACTCCTTAGTTGTGCGGTCCTGGTCATATCATTCATCGTACTGGTGAGTGTATATGCATCAGTCAGTACAAGGCAACTCCAATAATAAATACCTCTGGTTTTTCAATTTAGAAGATTTGAAAAAAGTTTTGGACAGCTAGTGTATAAATAAATATCCAGGGATAGGGATGAAATGGTCAGATGATTTTACTATTTAATGTATTAATTTGGTCATAGCTGTCCATATTAAAAATCACATGTAATAGATGAGTAGAGATATTTAGAGAAAATGTTATTAGACATTTAACATCAGTTCTGGTGTCATCAGTTGTATCTACTTTTTTAAAAAAGATTTTATTTACTCATATTTTAGAGAGAGGAAGGAAGGGAAAAATATAGGGAGAGAAACATTGATGTGCGAGATATACATCATTCGGTTGCCTCTCACATGCCCCAAAACCCAGGCATGTACCCTAACTGGGAATCAAACTGGTAACCTTTAGGTTCACAATCCTCAATGACTCCATTGAGTCATTCTAACGAGGGCTTTTTTTTTTGTAAGTATATTTTGTCGATTATGCTATTACAGTTGTCCCATTCTTTTTTCTCCCCTTTATGCCCCTCAACCCTGTACCTCCCTCTCCTTCCAGTATTTCCCCCCCTTAGTTAATGGGTAGTATATATAAATTATTTGGCTTCTCCATTTCCTATACTATTCTTTTGTTGTTGTTGTTAAATATTTTATTTATTTATTTTAGACAGAGAGGGAGGGAGGGAGGGAGGAAGAGAAGGAGAGAAACATCAATGTGTGGTTGCCTCACATGCACCCCCAACCATAGACCCAACCTGGACATGTGCCCTGACTGGGAAGCGAATAAGTGATCCTTTGATTCACAGGCCAGTGCTCAATCCACTAAGCCACAGCAGCCAGGGCTCTGTACTATTTTCAACCGCCCCCCCCTGTCTATTTTGTACCTACTAATTATGCTTCTTTTCCCCTGTACCTTTCCCACCAATTTTCCTCCCTCCCCCTCTTCACTGATAACCCTCCATATGATCTCCATTCCTGTGAATCTGTTCCTGTTCTAGTTGTTTGCTTAATTTGTTTTTGTTTTTTTAGGTTCAATTATTGATAGTTGTGAGTTTATTGTTATTTTACTGTTCATATTTTTTATCATCTTTTTCTTAGATAGGTCCCTTTAACATTTCATATAATAAGGGCTTGGTAATGATGAACTCCCTTGACTTTATCTGGGAAGCACTTTATCTGCCCTTCCATTCTAAATAATAGCTTTGCTGGATAGAGTAATCTTGGACGTAGGTCCTTGCCTTTCTTGATGTCAAATACTTCTTTCCAGCCCCTTCTTGCCTGCAAGGTTTCTTTTGAGAAATCAGCTGAGAGTCTTATGGGAACTTCTTTGTAGGTAACTGTCTCCTTTTCTCTTGTTGCTTTTAAGATTCTATCCTTATCTTTAATCTTGGATAATGTAATTCTGATGTGCCTTGGTATGTGCTTCCTTGGATCCAACTTCCTTGGAACTGTCTGAGGTTCCTGGACTTTCTAGAAGTCTGTTTCTTTTGCCACATTAGGAAAGTTCTACTTCATTATTTTTTCAAATAAGTTTTCAATTTCTTACTCTTCCTCTTCTCCTTCTCACACCACTATGATTTGGATGTTGGAACATTTAAAGTTGTCCCAGAGGTTCCTAAGACTCTCCTAATTTTTTTGAACTCTCATTTCTTCATTCTGTTCTGGTTGAGTATTTATTTCTTTATTCTGGTCCATGCTGTTGATTTGAGTCCCGGTTTCCTTCTCATCACTGGTGGTTCCCTTTAGATTTTACTTCCTTTCACTTGGCATAGCCTTCACTTTTTACTCTATTTTGCAACCATACTCAACCATTTCTGTAAGCATCCTGATTACCAGTGCTTTGAACTAAGCATCTGATAGGTTGGCTGTCTCTACATTGCTTAGTTCTATTTTTGGAGATTTGATCTTCCTTCATTTGGGCCATATTTCTTTGTCTCAGTGCACCTATTACATTGTAAGGGGAGGAGCCTTAAGTATTCACCAGGAGGGTGGGGCAACCCAGGTCACTGCATTGTGGTGCTGTCAGTGGGGGAGGGGTCAGAGAGGGAACAATGGCACTTGCTTGGCTCTCGGCTGGCTTTCAGTCACCCACTTCATACAAGCAAATTGGGCCCTGCTGGTGCTGATTCCTGGGTGAATGGGTTTATGTATATTCTAGAACCCTGTGGGTCTCTCCAGTGAATTCCTGCGAGGCTGGGAGTTATCTCCTGCTGCCGCAAGTCCCACAGGTTTTTACAGTCAGAGGTTTCGAGGCTTTTTTTCTCTGCTCTGGCACCCTGGGTTGTGCAGTCTGTCTTTCTGCCCATTTGTTCCTCCCGGTTTATCTGAATGTAAATGTGGGACTGCCCTGTCCTCCAGCTGCCTCACCAGCCTCAGTCCTTCAGCCTTCACCTTGCTGTGAGTCCTCTCAGCCCCAGGTGACCATTTCCTCCCCTCCTACCAGTCTGGATGAATGTTTCTTCTTTAACTCCTTGGTTGTTGGACTTCCATACAGTTGGATTTTCTGGCAGTTCTGGTTATTTTTTTGTTTTTAAATTTGTTCATCTTTTGGTTGTGCGAGGAGGCACAGTGTGTCTACCTATGCCTCCATCTTGGCCTGAAGTCTGAAGATCATCACTTGAGTTATAATCCTTCTCATTACTGTAAATATTGGCAGAGGTTTTATTTCCCTAATAAATGGAGAATTAAGATTATTAGTGAATTTTTCACCAGATTTACTCCCGGAATTATAAAGCTGTTAGTCACTGAATATTCAGATCGTAATGGAGACTGGCTAGGTGGCCCATGATGTTGATGGCCCTAGATATGAGGTACAGCTTTCTTCCTTCATAACTCACAGTTTGCCCTCATGTGTTGGCAGCATTGATGGGGAGTCCTCCTGAGTTTCCTAGGCTTGCCTCCCTTTTGGTTCTAAGCTGTAGTCCTGCAAGTCTTAATGGATTCCCCTTTTTGTAAATAATAGCTTTATTGATATATAATTGACATACCATACATTTTACCCATTTAAAGTGTATAATTCAGTGGTTTTTTTAAAAATGTTTTTGCATAGTTGTGCATTCATCACCACAATCAACTTTAGAAAATTTTTATCACCTGAAAAACTCATTTTCCCAAGTAGAAGTCCTATGTCATTTGATAACTGTGTATAACATTCTGAGGTCCCGTCAGGCTCTTCCACAGTAACTGTACCATTTTACATTCCTGCCAGCAATGAGTAAGGGTTTCAAAGTTTCTCCACATGTTTGCCAGACTGTTATCTCTCTCTCTTACCTGCAGTCATCCTACTGGGTGTGAAACAGTATCTCACTGTGGTTTTAACCTGAATTGCCTTGGTGGCTAATGATGTTAAACATCTTGCATGTGCTTGTTGACCATTTGTACATCTTCTTTGGAGAAATGGTTATTTTAAAATAAGTTTTGTTTTTACTATTGAGTTGTGAGATTTCTTTATATAGTCTGGAAACAAATCCGTTATCAAATATATGTATTCTGTGGGCTTTTTCACTTTCTCGATATCATTGGAAGCAGAAAAGTGTTCAATTTCAATGTAGTTCCATTGATCTGTTTTTTTCTGTCATTGCTTATGCTTTGGTATCATATCTAAGAAGGCCATGCCTAACTCAGTGTCAAAAAGATTTAATTAATTTCAAAAGGATTTAATCCTATATATTCTTCTAAGAACTTTTTAGTTTTAGCTCTTACATTACTCCCGTGATCCATTTTGAGTTACCGTATTTGCTGTGCATAATGCGCACCCATGTTTTTGGCCAAAACTTTCAGGAAAAAAATCTTTTGTTTTAATTTTTTAATTTAATTTAATTTATTTTTATTTAGAAACAAAACCTGTTATTATATTCCAGGGTATTATTTTACATACAGATATTGTTATTGCTTTCCAGTATTATACTTTAACACATAAGCATAAAAATAATTTAAAACATTTATATAAATATGAAATTAGTACTACCCATGTACAGTGTACATCCTTATTTTTTCCTCAAAAATCTGGCCAAGGAAGTGCTTGTTATACATGGCAAAATATGGTAGTTTTTACGTATGGTATGAGGAAAGAGTCATCTTGATTTTTTTGTTTGATTTTTTTCTGCATGTGGATATCCAGTTGTTCCAGCAACATTTATGAAAGTGAGGTTTTGAGTTGGCCCTTTTGCTTCTTTTTTCCCCCCCCAACAAGAAGAGACTATCCATACCCTGGGTTTTATTTACCTACCAGTACATCATTTTCCCACCCAGATGGCATATTCTTCACAGCTGCAATGATGTTTCCTTTTTATCATTAGACAGACTACATCAACGCCAGTTTCATGGACGGCTACAAGCAGAAGAATGCTTATATTGGTACACAAGGTAAGTTAGTCCGCCCCTCACAAGTTGGTTTTGAGTCATCCACCTGTGATTCTTATACCAGAGGATAGCATAATTTTTAAAGAAAATGGTTACTTAATGTTATGTTGTGGCCACTATATCTTGGCCTTTCATAAAGATTAGGGGTCATTGAGGAAGGCCATTGAGAAGCATAGTTTCATATAAGATATGTCTGGGAACTCACTGAATAGAAATAAACTGGAGATTTGAACACACAACACCAATACAAGTTTTTGGACTGTGTCTTTTATTGCCAACCCAAAGGGACAGAACATCAGAACTCATTAGCTAGTGAGGTGTTCTTATGGCCAGTAGGAGGCCAGGAGCGGCAGTGGGACTTCCCAGAAATTGAGTCTAATCTGTGAATGGGTGTTGCTGTCCTCAGAGGCTTTGCTGATCCCTGTACAATCACAGGGCACCTCAGCAGTCTTCTGACGTGGATAGTCTATGCTCCATCTGACAGTGGAGTATTGGGCTCCAGGAGGATTGCATGTGGGGTTTTTATAAATGTTGCTGTGGGCTCAGTGCTCCTGACCTGGCCTCTGCCATCTCAAGGAGAATATTGGATCATATTCTAAAAGGGTGAAAAGAAATCACAACACAGGAGGACATAACAGTCCTCCATATGAGCTTAAGGCCTTTCGACCATTGCAGAACATGGCTAGCAAAAGATCCAGTGGATACTTCCTTAACCAAGTCAGTGATCAAACAAGATCATCATTAATGGACGAACATATTAATATGCCTCCTGCCGTGAAACATTGAGAACTGTACCATATAACCTATGTTATATGTTGCCAGTTTTTAAGTCTGAATCTAATTATGAGAAACCAATCAAATCCAGATTCTGGGACATAGAATAAGAAAACTTGCTTAAACTCTCCAACTTTAATGCCATTAAAAAAATTTTAAAAGGTCAGAGAACTGTTATAGATTAAAGGAGACCAAAGAGACATGATAACCAACAGTAATGTGTGATCCATGATTGAAACCTGTGTTTGGAGGATTAAATTGTTAAGGACAAATTATTGGGACAATTGGAGAATATGTCTTAGATAATATTATTATACCCATGTTTAATTGCTTAAGTGAAATAATGGTATTGTTCTGTAGGAGAACTCTTTGTTCTTCTAAATATGTGTTTGAGCATTTATGAGTAAAGTGTCATAATGTCTGATACTTTTTTTCAAATTATAAGAGAAAGTTTATTAAGAAAGTTACACAGGTGGTAGAAGTGAGCCAGCCAGGCTGCAAAGGCTCAGGAAACAAGTTACAGAGGCAGAAGAAAGGGCCCTTGGAGCTCAGGAGAGGGGATGGCAAAGGTAATGCACCCAGGGGAAGAACAGGGGGAGGGAAAGGTGCTGGCGTGCTCCCGAGAGGGAGAGCACGTTGAAATTTATTTTTTTATTTCCTTGACCAAAAATAAAGTGTCTATTTCTGGGAGTTAGAATTACATTTTAAATTTTCTTCTGTTTTTCCTTATTTTTTATTATATTTTTTCAAATAATTGAAACTTACTTTTAAATAATTCACTAAAAAGAAAATACATGTGTATGTCTGCAGCAGTGTCCCCTTATCTGCGGTTTTCAGTTACCCATGCTCTCCTGTGTTTAAAAAATATTAAATGGAAAGTTCCAGAAGTAAACAGTTCATAAGTTTTAAATTGCATGCCATTCCGGGTAGCGTGACGAAATCTAGCATTGTCCCTCTCTGCCCCACCTGGGATGTGAAATCAACCTTCGTGTAGTGAATCCACACTGTTGAAGCTACCTGCCTATTAGTCACGTAGTAGCCATCTCAGTTATCAGACTGACTGTCACAGTATCACAGTGCATATGTGCAAGTCACCCTCACAGTAGCCTGACGCTCTGTCACAATGCCCACATCTTCCGCCTCACATCATCTCATCACGTAGGCACTGTGTCTTCACACACCATCACAAGAAAAGGGTGAGTAGAATACAATTAGGTATTTTCAGACAGACCACATTCACGTAACTCTTACTACAGTATATTATTAAATTATTCAGCTTTATCAGTTATTGTCGTTAAATTCTTACTGTGCCTAATTTATAAATTATGTATCATATATATTGGGAAAAAACATAGCATATAAATATAGGGTTTGGTACTGGTTTTAGGCATTCAGCGGGGGTCTTAAAACGTATCCCCTGCAAATAAAGGGGGACTAGTCTATAGAGATAAGCAAACATTGCAAAACGATAGCTAAAATCGATAGCTTGTGAACTAAAGAATGTACAAATATACTATAGTAGTATTTCAGCTTTTTGTTGGATTCTTTTTTTTTTTTTCCAAAATAAAAGTTGAAGGAGACAAAAGGGAAAAAGGCCTTTGGATTCTTGGTACGTTGTTAATTGGTCTTATGGTCACAGGTTTATTTTTTTTCCCCTAAAAGAGACAACTCCCTCAAAAGGGAGTTCTTTCAAGACCCTAAGAAGAAACAAGAGAACTGTCAGGAAAGATTTTTGGCAGGTGTAGGATATGATGTGATCTGCTTGAGGAAGTAGGGCCTTTGCTGAGGAGGATGGTTTGGTGTGGTTGGGCTTATAGGGAGTAAGGGTTGGCTTTAGGGGGCCTCATAATGCTTCTTACTCCAGGTTTAGAAGGCAAGGGCACTGCTTAGTGTTGGTTCATTATTCAAGAGTTGGGACCTTTAGGCTGGCACTGTAGCCTCTGTCCAGAAGAAACTCCTCCAGGAATATAGGACAGAGGGCTTCTTGAGTCAAACACTGATCACCTTTAGAACATGTTAACACCAGAAGATACGGGCCCTGTGATGTTGGGAAAGCTGGTTTGATTTATCTGGCTAACCTTCTTGACTGTATTTGTAGTATTCTGATTCTTAGTCATCATGTTATTTGTTATAATAATAATATCCTATCTATTAAGAATATGTATGAGATATATAACCTCTAATTATTATAAAGACTCTGCAAGGAAGTTTTATTTTATTAACCTATGAACAAACTGTAGCCCAAAAAACCTTAGGTGATCTTGTATCACACAGCTAGTAAGTGGCTATTAAGCCAGGATTTGAAAGTATGTTTGTTTGGGTCAAAAATCCTAGCAAGGCAAGTCAGTGGATTATTTTACCTATGTCAGCACAAACTGGTGACTTTCTTTCTTCAGAAAAGTATAATGTTAAAAGAGTCTTATCTGGAGACTCTTTTCCTTCCAAATCTCTCATGCCTTTGAGGAAATTATGACCTACTCTGCCTGGCCTGAGTTGGAGTGGTATATGGGTTCTCAGGTGCTCTGATAGGCAACACCAATTTGTCAGCAATTTGAATGTGGAAAGCTAAGGATCTGAGAGATGCTGTGGTGCAGAGCAGTGGGGTGTAGATAAATGGGGGGTCAGAGATGGGGCAAGGGTATTTTTATATTCTTGATGTGCATATTACGGTAATGCATATCCATTAAATGAAGATGAAAATCACTCATAACCCTGAGACACAGCGATAATGTTAACATTTTGCAGCATATCCTTCTAAACCTTTTTCTATTCATATAAATAGGTACAGGCATATAAATAGGTACAGAAAGAGCCTAACAAAATAGGCTCTTTCTATACATTATCTGCTTTTTCACTTGATGGTATCTTGTGCATATCTTTCCAGAGCAAAAAATATAGACCTTATAATACCTATCACCTTACATACTGTTTAAATTTGGGGTATATGATAATTTAATCCTCTTTTGTTAGACATTTAACTTGGTGTCAAGACCTCACACGCTTTTGGAAGTGCCTGCTTCTGCACAAGAGGAAATTCTAGTATCATAAAATGTTAGTGCTTGCTAAAAAGGCTTTAGCAAAAATAGTAGTGAAACTAGCAAACTTCCAGGACAAAAATCAACTCTTGTTACTTCCCTGCTTCCCTGCAACCAGAGGAGGAAAAAGCACTGGGAAACTACGTGGAGTTATCCTGAGTAGTTACTCCCTTGATTAAAAGGGAATTGTTGTATCAAGTATCTTCAGGTCCCACAAATATCTTCAGAGTTACTGCTGAGTGCCCATCCTGTGCAGGTTCTAACACAGAAGAAGAACTTGACACCATGGCACTTGCAGTCACCACCATGTTTGCTGAGATGTGATTAATTCTCACAAAGTAAAATGACTGATATAAGATCACATACATTATATGGTTAAGCTGTTTTGATCCAGCTGTACCATCAAAATCTAAGAGAAGAGGAAACCCTACAGAGAGGAAACCTTCCATGGTGGTCAGAGAAAGTTTCAAGGATGAGACAGCACTTGAAAATGAGTAGAAAATGAACAGCACTGGAGGTGAGAGAGATGGCTTGAGCAAAGGATAGAAGCAGAAGTAAGCATGATGTGTCTATATTGTGATGAAACAATTTTTTAGAAAGATTAAACTGGCAGGGATATGCAAAATAGACGGGAAGGGAGAGTCCTGTTTAGAAAAGTAGACCAAGCCCTGGCTGGTGTGGCTCAGTGAATTGAGTGCCAGCCTACAAACCAAAGGGTCACCAGTTCGATTCCCAGTAAGGGCACATGCCTGGGTTGTGGGCCAGGTCCCCAGTAAGGGTGCACAAAAGGCAACCACACATTGATGTTTCTCTCCCTCTCGCTCTCCCTCCCTTCCCCTCTCTCTAAAAGTAAATAACTAAAGTCTTTTTTAAAAAGAGAAAGAAAAGTAAGCCAAGATAAGAATACAGTAACTCAGACAAAGATGATGTGGTTGGTTCTCACAGTGAAGTTGAGCAGGGAGATCAGGAAGGGGACAAAAGGATAAAAACCACAAACAACTCAAAGGCAAATCTTTAGGACTAAGTAGATAAAGAAAATATGGCCCTGGCTGGTGTGACTTAGTGGATTGAGCGCAGGCCTGCAAACCAAAGGGTTTCTGGTTTGATTCCCAGTCAGGGCACGTGCCTGGGTTGTGGGCCAGGTCCCCAGTAGGGGGCACTCAAGAGACAACCACTTATTGATGTTTCTTTCCCTCTCTATCTCCCTTCCCCTCCCTAAAAATAAATAAAACCTTTAAGAAAAAAAAAGAAAATAGATAAGTTATAGTTGACTCCAATTTTTTAAGACTGAGTTCTTGGCCCTGGCTGGTGTGGCTTAGTGGATTAAGTGCTGGCCTGCAAACTGAAAGGTCCCAGTTCAATTCCCAGTCAGGGCACATGCCTGGGTTACCAGCCAGGTCCCCAGTTGGGGGTGTGCAAGAGGCAACTGATCAGTGTTTCTCTCCCTCTCTTTCTTCCTCCCTTCCCCTCTCTCTAAAAATAATAAATTTTACAAATTTTAAAAAAAAAAAGAAGAAGAAGACCAAGTGATTGAAGAAGGCCACTACTGTTAACAGAGATGGGAAAGTGGAGAGAGAAAGCTAGCTTTGAAGGAGGGGGCTGAAAATATGTTGGGTTTGAGTTGATGATGGGACACAGAAGGAGACAATTCCATAGGCAACTGGGTGCTTATAAGGCTTGGCTTAGATGAGGTGAGAACAGCTAGAGAAATGTACATAGTTGACACTGCCAGTATAGATATGATGACAGCTGAAGTCCTGGTAATAAGGCCCTGAGAGGGTCTGTAAGAGTGCTTCTCAGACTGTACCTGAGGTCCTTGTTAACATGGAGATGTGATTTTTAACATATTCCCACGCTGTATGCTGTGCTGGTGGTTAAAGGAAATAGCAGGATGTAGCGAGAGGAGCAGGGAGCCAGTATCTGTGGTTTGGAGTTAACCAAACCACGGAAGAGCCAAGGAAGGCTCTTTTGGGAGGAAAACAGAAGAGCCAAGGAAGAAGCGCTTCACAGAGTCATGTACTGTGTCTTTTCCAGGACCTCTGGAGAATACCTATCGTGATTTCTGGCTCATGGTATGGGAGCAAAAAGTCTTGGTGATTGTGATGACCACTCGGTGAGTTCACCCTTTTTCTTCCCACCTCTCTGCCCCTACCCTAATACTAAGGATAGGTGATTCAAAAGAGGAATTAGCTCTTAGAAATAGTGAGGATTAGAAAAGCCATGGCCATGAGTTTGAGATGATGTAGGTTCTTGTTTGTTTTGTTTTTTTTCAGTTGACCCAAAGATAACACGAGGTGTGGTGGAGACTGATAGATCTAACTTCTCAAAGCTTTATTCCATGGCTCTGGTGACCCTGTGCCACTTACAGCCTATTCTGAGGCCCTGGCCTTATCCACTAAAGGAAGAATTGGGAGACATGGGGCAATTCACTTTCAATCTGGTCCACGCTTCTTCCAAAGAGCAGCTGTCTTCCTGGCTTCTGACTTACCAGTTCGCCTTTGTTCTCTCTTTCCCTGCTACTTTGACCATTTTCTGCTTCTTTAAGAGGCAGGAAGCTCTTGATGAAAATAATATTTTTGAAATTTTGATATACACACCTGCCAAAACCTCAGGAATTACTATTTCATTAGTATTACCATTACCATTATGATCATTATAACCTATTTCAGATGAGAACAAAAAAATTAGAGTGTTAGCTTATTTTTCTTTTTCATGGCACTATTATAACAACCTTTGATTTGGAGAGGAGGTCATGGAAGAAATACCATCTTGGAGTACTTTGGAGCCACTGAATTGCAGTGAGGTAGACTTCAGACCTTTATACAAACCTCCTGCTGGTATCCTGGGAGCTGTGCCTTTCTTACTCCTGTATTACCCAGGGGCCCTCACTGGGGAAGAGAATGAACAGTGGCTGAGATACAAGGCAGAGAGTTCGATCTGGCCCACCATATTTTCTCTACTGTCTTTCTTTGTCCACTCAGTATTTATCCCAGATATGTGTGGAGTGCCAAGAGGTATCAGGAAAGGGGCAAAATGATAGGATATGTACCAATAAACGTCTTCTAAAGGAGTACCTACCGAGACTTGCACTGTTACATCCATTTAGAATGAAGGTTTTCTTCCTTTTCTGCCAAAAGGCAAGAGTATAAGTTAGAAGCAGTTCAAGAGATGCTGCTGCTGCTAGGAGCACAGCAGGTCCTGGGGGGGCGAGGTTAGTGCTGTGCAGAGGAAGGATGGAGATTTACCTTGCTCTGTGTGTCTTCAGCTTTGAGGAAGGCGGCAGGAGGAAGTGTGGTCAATACTGGCCTTTAGAAAAAGACTCTCGGATCCGATTTGGCTTCCTCACAGTGACCAATCTAGGTGTGGAGAACATGAGCCATTATAAGAAAACAACGCTAGAAATTCATAACACAGAGGTAAATCCAGGTTTCTATTTTCTCACTTTTTTGAAGGTAAAGGAGAACTTTAATGTAAAGAAAGTCTCTAAAAGGAATAGGCAGGATTCCAGGGAGCTTATAAGTGACTTCCATTTTTCTGGGCATAAGATGAAGATACTCAGTTCAGAGCCAATGTAATTACATTGTCTTAACACAACAGGGGCATTATTTAGGAATGAAACTTAGAAAAAGTCTGGATCCTACAAATAGGAATTCCGCCCCTTCCAGACATTAAACCTTTCCTTTGGGTTTGTAGAGAAGCAGTTGTGGGGAAAGTTGAGGGTGGTGGGCAGGAATCTTGGTGGTAGAGATCCCAGGGCATTGAGGACTGGAGGAGCCAAAGGAAGGGGAAACAGAAGTGACCTCACTAATTTCTGCTTCTTTTTCTATCCAAGGAGCGGCAGAAACGCCAGGTGACTCACTTTCAGTTCCTGAGCTGGCCAGATTATGGTGTCCCCTCCTCAGCAGCTTCCCTCATTGACTTCTTAAGAGCAGTCAGGAGCCAGCAGAGGCTGGCCGTCAACAGCATGGGAGCAGACTCCAAAGGGCAGTGCCCTGAGCCACCCATTGTGGTCCACTGTAGTGCAGGCATTGGCAGGACAGGTAATAATGCACCTGATGCAGCTGTCAGAGCCTCTGGAGGCAGTAAGGAAGGTGGAGGAATAACCAAGCTCTTTACTGCCAGATTGAGAGAATTCGATCCATTGGTCCCGAATTGCCATGAAAAATTCTTCCTAAGTGTCCTTTTGGTAACCCTAGTGCTAACTGTGTGTCCAGAATATACGCTTCATAAGCCGAGTCCTCTGGGACTGATGCTTTATACATCTTATTGGCATGATCATATTCTGACCCCATCACTGTCACCTGGGTGTCCAGAGAGCTCAGCTGGGCTGTTGCTTCCTTCTCATCCCTCTCCTTGGAGAGGTCTTCATTGTGTTCTGTGTTCTCCATTCTGCATCCACTTAGCAACTTTATCCTTAAGGGGATGTACATTGCAGGGACTGCTGGCATTTCTCATCAGAGATCCCTGTGGGAGAAGGGTCAAGAAGAGTAGGTTTGCATCAGATCTCTAGGGAGAAATTGTAGAGTCTGAAAATTAGGGCCCAGGTGTGAAAGTGCTATTGTTCTGTCTGGGATTTCACTTTCCCACCTGTTCTTCGTATTTCCTCCAAATACATGACAAGAGGCGTTCTCATTTCTCTGGCCTCCAACACTGTGCCCTCCCCCTTGAATCCTTTCAGGCCTGAGTCCCTTTGCCTTTAAATGCAGTCATTCAGTCCTGCCTGGTTATTTGGTAGAGGGGCAGGGAGAGGAGAGACAGGCTAGATATGACTATTTCCTTTCTCCCTTCAGGTACCTTCTGCTCACTGGACATCTGCCTGGCACAGCTGGAGGAGCTTGGTACCCTTAATGTGTTCCAGACAGTATCCCGCATGAGGACCCAGAGGGCCTTCAGCATCCAGACCCCTGAGCAGTACTACTTTTGCTACAAGGCAATCCTGGAGTTCGCAGAAAGGGAGGGCCTGGTGCCGTCCAGCCACAACCTCCTGGCCATGGAGCGTCAGTAACTGTCCCATGAGCCTCCTACCTGCAGGCCAGCCTTCTTCCTTAAACTATCCTGGACACCACTGAGCCTGTAGGTTGCCATCAGTTACACTGAAGCCATGGACCAACCTCTTTCTTAATGTCTCCCGGTGCACGCAAAGCAGCCTTTCCCTTTGGCAAGATAGATGTTGTGAAACTGTTATTAGAAAGGGCCAGCAACAGTGTGTTCTTAAGTCCTAGCAACTGCCATTGAACTGTGCCTTATTATAACCAAATTGTGGCTATTGATTTTTGCCAGGGGCTCCAAGCAAGGTAAGTGGGAAAGGAAACTCCCTACCTTCTTTCCCAATGCCCTCTCCTTCTGGAGGTCTCTTTCCCATCCCTTCCCTTTGCTAGGATTTGATGGGGAGGTTTGGTGAGCATCCACCTTCCTTCCTAGAAAGCTTGACCAAGTTATATATTCTAAAGAACATCCCGAGTGCCAAGCACGTTTATTCCTAGTGTGTATCCAGTCTTTTCTGTTATTCTGTGTGTGCGTGTGTGTGCACTTATGTGTATGGGTCCATATGTATGTGTGTATATAATATATTATTGTATGTGATAATATGGTCATATTCTATAAATACATATACGCAGAGTTACTCCTTTGTAGAAGTTCCTGGGGCTCCTTGTTGCACTTCAGGTGTTGTGGCTTCTTGTAGCCTACTGTTTATCCTGGACTAGCTGGGTTTGGGGATTATGTCTCCAGTTGTCAAATGACAGAATGGTGGAAGAGGACACAGGCATATCTACTTTCTATGTTCCTGCTACAGGCTTTCATGCTTACATCATGACTCTCTCTCTCCAGGATGCTGTCTGTTGGAGCCAAGAATACTGGTTTGTGGTGACGCTGGTTTAATTCAGCGTGGACTGCCCTTACCTAATGATTTTTCTCCGTTTACTTTGCTGATTTTGGTAATAGACCTCCACTGTGATTTCAGACCCCCTCTTTCCTCTTCCTGTCTCTTTCCTCTTCCTATCCCTTGGGGATTGGAGCCTTGGAGTAGAGATGAACTCACTGAGCAGCCAGAGGCAAGAGCAATTGGTACAATGAATGCCTTAAAAGGAAAGGAAGAGCCCCAAGTATGAGAAAAGAAACTACTATGAGAATCCTTCCCTGGGAGAATTAGCTTGGGACCCCTTTTTCTTTTCTCCAAAAGGTTCCTTTCCTTATGCAGCTTGGCCCTATCTACTCAGAAGCCCATCTTTTTCTGCCTAGTAACCTGACAGACCCTGGAGCTCAAGTTGGAGGGATTCTGTGTCAATAAAAAGTTTTAACTCCTGGCTGGGTGAGGCAGTGCCCTGCAGTTTCTATATCCCCACTCCCCTTCCATGTAACCTGTTCCTATCTGCTCCCAGCCTGATGTGCCAGGTATGGAATTGAGTCCCCAGTGCTCTACATTCCCAAGAAAATTCCAGGAACCCCTAAACCTTCCCCTATCACAGATGAGGTTGGCAACTGATCAGACCTCAATAATTTTATACTGTAATAAGCTCTTGAATGTATATGTTCTTATTTTTACAATCTTTTCATTTTGTATTTAATGTCAATCAACTGAGTCAGATTCAGAAAATAATTGTAAATGTTCATATTCAATATCTTACACCAATAGTTTTGTATTTACATATAAATATACTGACGTGATCAAACCCTTTTAGCTTCATCAATTTAGTAGCAGTGTGGGGCTGGGAAGGTGAGGAGGGAGTCTTAAGAGCTGGTCTGGGAGGGGTGGGGAGGCAGGGAAGGACCCAGGTGTTTAGCATCTGAGTCTTTCAGGTTTGAAAGACTACCTTGCCTGTAGGCCATGACCTTAGCTCTGGGCAGAAACAAGAGACCAACACCAGTTGAGTGCTTGTGGGGTGCCAGTCTCTGTGCGTGGTGCTTCCCCCATCCCCGTCCATTATCTTATGCAAACCTTACAGCACTCCAATGAGAGATTATTCTCCCTTTATTCTATTTCTATATAGATGAGGAAGGTAAGGCCCAGAGGTCTATAGTGATTTGCTGTAAAACTAGAGCTGAAGTTGGTCTGCTTACAAAGCCTGTGGCCTCTTCACTGCATTGCTATCTCAAAGATGAGATGGTGATTTTGTCTTTTGAAACTATAGGGGTTTTTTAATAGCTCTCTTTCAGAGTATAAACAGTTCTCAAAATTCCAGGTAATTGAGCCTAAGCTCATGTTGCATGTAGTAGACTAGAAGGGTGACAGAGTTGGTGACTGATTCTCCTTTGTAGGACCTCCTTGTGTAGGGTCTTTAGATCTGCAGAGTACTGAAAGGGTCATTCTTCCAGGGACAGTCCATACCTGTGGGTACCCTGGGATCTTGAGTCATTTGCATATCTCTCTTAGAATGGAACCAGTAGCTTTATCCACGTAGACTACTACCCATACCGTATAGCTACTCCCTACTGACAGCCTGCCCAGTTGGGACAGTTCTGGCATGGGGTGTATGTAAATATATGGGTATTCTTAATAAATGTGATAGAAGTTAACATTTACTGGATGTTTAGCTGGCCAGGTACTGCTTAAAGTGCTTTCTGTGTATTCATTCACCCTCAGAACAACTTTTTGAGGTAGGTATTGACAAGAAAAAAACTGAAGCACAGGAAAGTTAATTCGCCACTAAGAACCTGGACCATCTGACTCCAAAGTACCTGTTGTTAATGTTAACTCACACTAGGTTCCTTCAAAGGATTTATCTCCTGATCTGCCAACAAATTTTTCCTGAGTTTCTGACTTAAGAGCTGAAGTGTAGAGAAAATTAAGCCAATCCTTTCCCTGGATAATAATCCTTTATTCCCTTGGGGCAAGCAAGCATAATTGGTGAACAGAGATACCTGAAATCTGGGAGATCAGAGATGGTAGAATTTTTTGGTGAAATGTGTAGGAAACAGGAATAAATGATAAAAGTTCTGGAGGAGGTAAACTTGAACTGTCGTTTTTTTGAAGAAGCTATAACCCACTGTTCTGTAAATTCAGGAGCTATGCATAAGCACTTTTTTGAACATCTGATGATTAGCAAGGTTATCATTTGCAAGAGCTCCATAAAGATGCAGGTTCCTGGGTCCCGCCCTGTACATGATACAGTGACAGAATGAACCAGGTTTCGGAAGCACTGTTTTTGTCCACGTCTCTCAGACTCTGGGGAAAGTTAGCAAATTGATGTTTTCCAAACCTGAGAGAAAGGGATCGATAGCCCCATTGCCATAGTTCATCTGTAGCTTTTACCAGTGGGAAGATAATCAATACTCAGTTTTAAAGGAGGTAGAGAGAGGGGAAGACATAGAAGAAGCCCCAGATTTGTTTGGGAATGAAGGCTTTCACAGGAGATTTGGTGGACAAAAAAGCAAGAGAGGGAACCCACAATCAAATGCTGGATTGTCCAGGTGAGAACATAAGATGAAAAAGTGTTCAGGAGAGAGACCATCATGAGCTAACTCAGGCTTCTCCATCTAATTTGATTGCTGTTTTTCACCTAGCATGTACTCCCCCTACAATTGGTCCCTTCACCTGCTAGGATGGAACTCCTGGGATGAAGGGTTACCCAGCATCCTCAGCCTGGAAGGCCCACAATTTCCATGTTACCATTTGCAGATAAATGACAGAATGGGACTGGTTCTTGGGAAATTGGGCTATTTTAGCATTGTAGCTTGAGGAAATGGGACTCCTACCCTTAAAGGCTCCCCATATCTAGGAAGAACCACACATTTTAGAAAACCATAAATCAGAGATATCAAGGAAGGTGGGCTGGCTAGAAAATTAGAAAAGCTTTCCTAGAGTGACTGAGCTCTTTGTTAATTTTGAGATGTCACCACTCAAGTTCTAGCTTCCTTTTGTAAAATAAGGGGCCACATTAGATGCTCCTGCTACAGGCCCTCCAAAGTGTGAATGTCTGCAGAGGAACCAACAGAATCTTCAGGTGAGTCAGCTCCCACTTCCCTATATTCCTTACCCATATGGAAAACAGGTCAGGTATCCTCTGTAACCCATAGACCATTCATCTTTCATGCTGCTCCATGAAGAGTAACTAAGGTGACTCAGAGTCAAGGAATGAAACAACTAAGAGCTCCCAGCCAAGATCACAGATTTGTCTCTGGTCTTGTTTGGTACCCACTCACCACTGTTAGCTTACCAAGGGCAGGAGCTAAAGCTCCCACGCGCTTTAGAACCAGATTTTTTTCTTGGGAAGTATCTGCCCTGTAGTTACCATTACAAAATAGTCCTGAAGATAAAGTGTTTTCAGCTACACTGCAAACTACAGAGAAGACTGGGTCTTCTTCACAAACAAATCTAGCATTCGAATCTGTTGCAGTGTTTCATTTCTCTCTGCCTGCCACCACAGCTTTTATAAAATCCTTCCTTTTGTTTAATCTAAATGCTGCAATTTTTAAAAAGATTTTATTTATTTATTTTTAAGAGAGAGGGGAAGGAAAAGGAGAAAGAGGGAGAGAAACATCAATTTGGTTGCCTTCCATATCCACCCCGACCAGGGACCAAACCCATAACCTAGGTATGTGCCCAGACCTGGAATTGAACCAGCAACCTTTTGTTTTGAGGGAAGTCACCCAACCAACTGAGCCACCAGTCAAGACTACATGCTGTGGTCTTATATACTCATTTTTTTTTTCCTGCTAAGGCCAACATGGCCAAGGAGCAGTGATTTCTTTTCAACACTTTAGGATACTGTGTTCCTGACAGGACCAAGATGAAGATGAAAGTAGGAAAGCAAGACAGTGATACATAGAGAAAAGATGGTCAAAGAGTGCTCCTCCCCCACTCCGGGGTCACTTCCTTCTACTCCTCCCCTGCATCAAAACCTGGCCACTTGTCTAATTAACGGAATTGTCCAAACTTCACGACCAACCAGCTGCGCAGCCAAGCCCAGGTCAGGTAGTTTCTCCTGTAGGGGCTCTCTTTTACTTCCTTGACCTTTAATGAATACCTGTTCTGTGGTCAGCAGCCAATAGACTTAAGAGGTCTGATGTTCAAGGAAGATACTGGGCTGGATATGTGAATTGAGGACTTAGTGACTTAGTTTAGGTGGAAGCTAGGACCCTTGGAAGTATTTGAGAACAGAAGAATGAGGAGGGCAATAAGAGAGGAGACCCTTAGGCGCCACAGACACTTAAGGGGGGATGAAGAAAAGCCTGTGAAAGATTTTGATTAATTGAGGTAACCAAGGACAAGGCCAGGATGTTTTCTCACAGATGTGAGTGGTGGGGAGTGGCTGGGATGAGTGAACACAATTCAGAAATGTAGTTTTACCAGTCTTCTGGCAGAGGGTGGGGGATGGCTAACAGGGAGGAGGCCTGCATGGGAGGTGAAAGAATGGAAACGGCAGTGCAGGCTGTCTCTGCTTCAGCTAAAGCAAGGGCCACCTTTCTTTCGCATATTAGGCCTCTGATTAAGATTTCATTTGAGCCCTGGCTGGTGTAGCTCAGTGGATTGAGCACAGGCCTGTGAACCAGACAATCACAGTTCGATTCCCAGTCAGGGCACATGCCTGGGTTGCAGACCAGTTCCCAGCAGGGGACTCATGAGAGGCAACCACACATTGATGTTTCTCTCCCACTCTTTCTTATTCTCTTCCCCCTCTCTACAAATAAATAAATAAAATATTTTTTTAAAAAAGATTTCATTTGAATAAAGGAAACTGCTGTTTAAAAAAAAGATTGAAAAATTTAAAAAAGATAAAGCCCTGGCCATGTGGCTCATTGGTTGGAACATTGTTCTGTGAACTGAAAGGTTGCCAGTTCGATTCCCAGTCAGGGCACATGCCTAGGTTGCAGGTTTGGTCTGTGTAGGAAGGCAATCAGTGTTTCTCACACTGATGTTCCACTCTTCCCCCCACTTCCTCCTCTTTGTAAAATCAATAAACTTTTTTAAAAGATTAAAAACCACAACTGATACACAATTGGAAATGCTTTAAAAACAAAGATAACTTTACCTATTTTCTAGATTTGGGCTAGAAGTCACCCAAATCTATGCTCAGGGCAAATTAATGCTCAGTGAGGGGAAGGCGTTTCAAGGCAGTGTATAGCAGTCTTAACACCCACTGAAAGATTCCAAGCCTCTGAAGCCACCCAGAAGTCAGAAGTGTGGAATTTGTACACCCTGAACCAACTGGTTTCCAGAGAAATGGAGTTTCTTCACACGGTGGGATTGTTGGATCTTTTGGGCATGTCCTGCCTTCCTCTTACACTGAAGCATCAGGGTGGAACTTTGCATTTGAATGGCCAGGAGAAGTGGGAGTAGCAATTAAGGAGGTCTGAGAACACTTGACGTAATGGTAGACATACTTTGTTATTAATCTTACACCCCCCTGCAATAGATATTTTTATTCTTAGTTTACAGATAAGAAAGTGAAAAAGATTTAAAAAATGACCTGTCAAAGACATCAGGTAGGTAGTAGCTAAACTGGGATTCTGAACAATAACCTGAGCTCTCCCCTGGAATCTGTAGGGTGCTTTTGATTGGGGTGGGGAGCAAGCCTCAGATGCCCCTCATCTGGATATTCCCAAGTTGGTAATGGTTGGTCTATAGCTGGCAAGAGATTCTGTCAGCAGGGTACTGGCACTGACTTCTTTTTGACAAAGTTGTCCCAAATGGAGATGGGGTCCAGCCTCTTGGTGATTGTGAACAAAGAATTAAAT